GAGTCACCTATACTATCAGAGCGTGTCCAGTCCCCTTGAGTTTCCTGCCCAAGCTGTCCCCGTACCAAACTGTCAAATACTTTGATGTGTTTCAAAGCTTTGCTTGGGAAAATGTTTTCCGTAAAGTCATCACAAATCACCACAAAGTCAATCACAAGTCATCACAATTCAATCGCTAAACAAATGTCAAGCTTTTCAAACGAAGTGTGAAAAAAAGTATTCCTCTGCTCTGTATTGCATATAAGTGGATATTTGATGGCATTATTAATTTAGTCTTGAAAAATGACTGCTTTCTGACTACAGAAAAAAAAAATCGCATCTGGATCTGAATTCATGACATCATGTTTAGAACAATAGAGTAAAAGTAAATTTCTAGACATCGGAACAACTGTCATAGAAACTTGGCCGAATTGAATTAGTGCATTGCGACGATATGAGCTAAGATGTACATGGAGGGGGGTTGCAGCCCCGCCCCCTCCGCGCTCTTCGCACCACTCTTAAGTGAATTAGTCTGACTAAAAATCACTCTTAAATTATATTTTCATGTACCACATGTGCCAAGTCATCAATAAAAAATGTTTTATTTTCCCATTTTTAATTTGAAGTACATTTGCACAGCTTCTATTCGATCTGTTAGTCGGCACTCTGATGCACGCTTTCATTTGCATGTACTTTTCAATGGGAAAAGTTAACATTTAGATATTTTGTAATGAAGGTATGCCACATTTTCATAAACCTGGTGTTAAATAACCGCAAGGCATCTGAACAACTGTCAAAGAAACTTGGCAGGATTTAAGAAATGCTTTGCGAAGAAAGGAGCCAAAATGTACACGGAGGGGGGTTGAGGCCCCGCCCCTTTCTGGCCTTTTCCGCCTGTCTTAAGGTAATTAGTCTGACCTAAAAGCCCTCTTAAGTAATATATTCATGTTTCGCATGTGCCAAGGCATCAATACAAACTGCTTTCATTTTCTCCTTTACCGTTGCGTTGCAACGGTATCAGTGAAAAGGAAAAAGAGGGCGTTACAGCCACGCCCACCCTACGCGCTTTTCAGGCCGCTCTTAAGTTAATTAGTTTGATCTAAAATCGCTCTTAAGTTATATTTCCATAATCTACAAGTTCCAAGCTATCAAATGATACTGGTTTTGTTCTTGTTCTAAAAATTTTGATTAAATGCAAAATTGGCCACATTTGGCATGGCGCCAATGGGCCTTTGTCTGATCTAGCAAAACTTCAGACTGGCCATTCTGTGATCAGGGTCGGTGATACTATGCTTTAAGACAATCAGGGGATTTGTTCCCCAAATTTTGATTAAACCCTATCCAGCTCTCAGTCTATATACTCTATGTCTAAGCTTATTTCATCGACCTTTTGCTCTACGTTTTCAATGTCAGTCATATATAAGGTGAAAATTAGGTTGCTGAAAATTAAGAAGTCAGGGTCTCGGACACAGCAACTCCTTAAATCTCATTTAGCAATATTAAAATTTGCCATTATTGAATAGAGGCTGGGTTATAAAATTTCAACTTCGAAGTGAATTAGACCTTATATTTGTTTTTCAACCATAGCTTTAGACATGTCAGTTAAAAGCATCAATAAAAACTGGGAATAATCGAGTGAAATATCTGGGTCTTAAACCATATACATGTAGTCCATAAATGAATCTGTATTCAATTTATTGTCAGGTACTACGAGTTGACACGAAAATCTGGATTGTAACATAGTCTATAGGTGCTGCAGTGGCGAAGCATGAGGTGGGGGGGGGGGGGGGGTGGGTTATGGAGGTTTTAACTCCCCAGTTCTTTTTCTCACGAGTTTTTTTTATCACGAGTGCCCATTCTTGAACATCCCGCGAATGTCGGCAATAGTGCCGCCATGAAGAGCGCCACCTTTTCCCGACAGTCCCCATGATCGTCCTCTTTGAAGAGTGCCTCCATAGGAAAATGGTGTCCAGAACCCTCCCCACCATAGGCGTCGCCATGATTTTTGTATTAGAGGGGAGCAAATCTTATTTTCCCCCGAAATCCCTATATTTGCCAGCATTTTCCCAATTGATCATTTTTTTCAAGGGTGCGCAGGGACATTTGCCCCCTCCCCCCAAAAAAAACCCATTAAAATAACAATAATATGATTTCGTGCCTCATTTTTAGGTTTTCCCCTTTTCCCCATCATTTTTGTTTGTTTGTTGTTGCTTGTCCGGGGGGGGGGGGGGGTGCCCCCCTGCCCCCTACCCCTCGTGACGCCCATAACCCTCACCCTCACCCCCTTTGAGCAAATGATATTTAAAACTCATGCGCTGAAAGAGGTACAATCAGACTGCGATATCATCGACTTGTCACAAAAATAATCGTTTGTCCGATAAGTTAACTTTTTGCGCCTTAACAGAGTTTTAGTAATGATTTAGTGCTTCATACAATGTAGTATTATAATTTAGTTTGTCCCATTTTGAAAACACAATAAGACTGTCCAATGCAAGGGCGTCAATCCCGATGGTTTTGGGGGATATTTCCCTCCCCTTCCCCGCACTTTTTCACCAGGTGTGGAAGGGCTATATCACTCATTTTGCCGATCGGTCTTTATGCGGCTTTATGAACAGCGCCACCTACTGTCCCAGGTGTTATAAACGAGATCGAGTTGGGGAATTCTGGGGATAAGGCTAAACCTGAAGTGGGTTTCAGCAAAGAACAATCATGAACTCTGAAAACACTCTTACTAGTTAAATTTGACTAGGAATCAGACTTGCACCTAGCTGGCCATGATGTGGTCAGCTGCGTACAAGTATGACTATTTTCCAGTCACATTTAAATAGGTGTTTTTTAACAGTGTGATATTGAGCGACAAGTAGTCGGATCGAGTGTCAAGCTTGGAGGCTTTATGAACAGCGCCACCTACTGTCCCAGGTGTTATAAACGAGATCGAGTTGGGGAATTCTGGGGATAAGGCTAAACCTGAAGTGGGTTTCAGCAAAGAACAATCATGAACTCTGAAAACACTCTTACTAGTTAAATTTGACTAGGAATCAGACTTGCACCCAGCTAGCCATGATGCTGCGTACAAGTATGACTATTTTCCAGTCACATTTAAATAGGTGTTTTTTTACAGTGTGATATTGAGCTTCAAGTAGTCGGATCGAGTGTCAAAACGCAGGGGCTCTACAGCACACTCAATATGCAATCATGCACTTCATCATCACGGTGCGCCGGCTCAGATGGTTCGGACATGTGTAGGATGCCACAGGACCGTCTCCCCAAGATATCTCTCTTCAGCGAAGTCAGCACTGGAGCCCAAGCTCGAGGGAGACCACTACTCCGTTTCCAAGACCGCGTGCATGCGGGACGACTTGCAACACTGCCAGATAGAGAAACGCGGAGTGGAGGAACTTATTGCTGAGAGAGAAGCGTGGCGGAAAGCGATCCACGAGGGGGCAGCTGCGGCAGAGAAGAAGTGGCGCGAGGAGGGAAGGACACGCCGGAAACAAGCAGACCAAGGCGCGGTGGCATGATCCTCATGGATCGTAATACGCGGCCAATAACAACATCGAATAACTAACTTTTGGCTGTGAGCTAATACTGTGTGACTATCTGTTTGTTCACCTTATTAGACTTTCTTTATTTTTAAAGGAAGATATCAATCCTAAAGGTAGCTGAATACGGCATGGGACATTTCTTGATACTGATTGCCCGTGTGAGGACATTTACGGGAAAAATAAAATACAATCTAAACGACATCTATCATGCAACATTTTTAATCTACGATTAGTAAGGAGTAAAATAAGATCGATCATGTAAGATATCAACCAAAGTAAGCAAAAAAAAAATAGTCAACATAAGAATAGGAAAAGATTTTTAAAAACAAAAATAAGAAAACACGTTGAAACAATTTTGAGACCTTCAATCGTGAATAATGATGACAGGAAAATGTAAAGTTTAGAATTCCAAATCTGAAGGAAATCACTTCAACATGTCCGTCATCATCAGTGGTAATTTGTCGGTGGGTAGGTTCAGCAATGAAAAGCGGCATTGGTTCTTATGTTTTTCGTTGCAAGTTATTCTAGAATGAACTGAGATTATCTGGTGCGGTCTGCATAAAGTAAAATCAATCCGGGGTTGTTTTCTATTCACTAACGTATTCTTTTTTTGTATGGATTGTTTCATCCGACCTGAACGGCGGATTTAACCAACAAATATCCTCTACCAATACATAAAAGAATAACAAGAAATTGAACTTTAAACGTCAAAAAAAAAATGTCAAAACAAAAATGAACAAGAAATTGAACATTTAACGAGAAAATAAATCTTGAGAATTCAAGAGTAAATGAATTTAAAATTCAAATAAGGTGTCCAGTAAATTGAAGCAATGATGTTGGAGCCTCTAATATGAGAAATCGGAAATCAAAATAAAACAATTGTTGTACATATCAGCTCTGAGAAACATTCCCAAGTTACTCAGTTCGTTGGTTCCTAATTGCTTTGAGATACGAGTGCGGCTTAAGCGTAGGCCTAAACCAGCAGGTTAGTTCACCAATGGTTGTAGTATTTACTGAAATTTGTCTCACTATTATACTGGAAACTTGGTTAAAACCAAATTACCAGATGTTAAATTTGAAAGTACGCAGGTTCTTAAACGTTTAAGCCATATTTATGCGAAGTGCAAACGATTTCCTTTTCACTGTGTAGCCGGCCAGCAGTCTACATAATGAAAATTTAACCGTTTAGTTTTAAAGTGATACTGTTTGTCTAATCAGCAAATTAGTTCACCGATGATTCTGATCATCTTCCGGATTCCCATCATTCTTAAGCTGGACACCTGATGAAACGAACAAAATCTATGAACTAAATGTTCAAATTTAAAGCATGCAGCAGGTTCGTCCACGTTGAAGCCACGAAGATGCGAAGTGGGTTATGGAAACGATTTTTTTTCACCGTGTAGCCGGCCAGCAGTCTACACAATAAAAATCAACCGTTCAGTTCTGAAATAACTCTGTTTGTGGGTGTCCGTTTTGGAGGACTGTGAGGTGATCATGGCCGACGACATCGACTTGGTATCGATTGTGAGGGTTTCAGGTTTGATGTGGTAAATATGTGCTTACGTATCTCCGTGGTTGTCTATTGTAGGGACGTTTACTTTGTAGTAGTCATTTTGCACATGAATGGAACAGCTCTGTTGCATTCGGTGTCATTCCATTCGCCATTATTGGGGTACATGTGAGCGCAGTGCTCATTATTACCGGCGTTGTTGGGCTCGGACCTGCGCCATTTGGTGAAGCTGACCGCTGATCCATCTTTCCATATGTAGTTCCCTTCCTCTGCCAAGTCGTTGAAGCCGATCCACAGCCTGTCCTTTCCACCGGACGACTTAAAAATCGTGAGGAGCAGATCATTCTCCTCAGCGCTGGTTATGGACGCCAGGTGACCCTGACCGACTTGAGTGAACTCCTGGCAGTGCTTCTCAGCTTCATCGTAGGTCTTGCCAATGCCGAAGTAACGGTAGCAGTTGCCATTGTAGAAAGTCCACATCGGTGGACACTTGGGGCAGCGTGGTTGACACGCCGCGGCCAAACCCACCAACAGGACGAAGCACAAGGCTCGAATGAAAGCCATGCTGTTTACGAGTTGTCTTCCTACCAATGAGTGTGACAAGCCAAAATGCAGTTGCGGAATGAGGCAAGGAGATGAGAGGCATAGCTTATAAACCCTCAATTGATCCTCGTTTGGTATAATACACACCCGACATCTGTAAGGTTTCATTGGCTTCGAGCGTCACGTGGAGTGTTTTAGTTGGCCACTGGAGGTTGGAGGTGTGGCCAGAGCCATATTTCCCACGAAAACAGTTCAAAAGGTTTATCGTGTATCACTGAAAAGTACCTATCACGTTATCCTCTCTTAGCACCATGATTGGTCAGTATTTTCAGAGATTAATAATGTTCATGGACGATACCAAGTATTTACATTGTGCATTTACATTGAGAATAGTTTTTGTTTTGTTTTTTGTTTGTCTTCAATTCCACTCTGATTAAAGAGTAACCTTAAATATATTTTGCATTGTTTCAATTAAACCCCGAATATAGACTTCCTTTTTTACTTGCTAATTTTCTAGCAACACACGTGATGTTCACGATGAAATTGAACGTTTGAATCCAAGTAATTCAATGGGTAAGTTATGGAGAAAAGCTCCTTCCTAAATCAAATAGGGCAATGTTTTTATCGCCCTGAGCCCGGGGAAAAAGGGGTAAATGAAGCCGTCTGAAGTACAGTTGGGAAAATTATTCACAATAGTTGGTTAATTGTATTTACCTCAATTAACCTTCAAAAGTACCAATGTATACCAAAGTTGACAAATAACTTTGCCCACCAATGTTGAACCAAACTTTCATTTACAGTGTACTTTCCAAATCGAAAACCCCGCCGAAAATGCCGACAGTCATTCTGTCAAATCGTTACCAAAGAGTCACTTGGCTGGCCTCCTGGAAACATTAAAAAATACCATTTTAAATACATATCCTTTTTCAAAGTTCAAACGCCACTTTGTTTTTGTTTTTTGGTGTGAATCACTGCAGGAATTGTGTCTTCCCTGACAGTTTGCATCTTGCCATTATACGTGCTGACGGCACTCGGCACTTGAAAACTAGAGTTATAGTTTATGCTGCGTCTGCACGACTTTGTATTGAAAAGCAAAACAAATCCTTGCTCACAGTTTTAATTTGATTCACAGAAATTGTAACCATACCTTCCAGCTATCAACAGATGGGGACTAGGCCCGGGTGTGTGATTTGCATTACAAAAAAAGACTAATTGTGTTTTTACCAAAAGTGCAACAATGATTATATATTTGGCTCTTTAAAACATAACATTTGGCTCAGCAAAACAGAATAAAATATCGCCATGACAGTTTTAATTTGATTCACATAAATATTCATCGCATCGTCAAGCTATTAACAGCTGGAGACTAGTTCCGGGTTTTGTTTAAAATAACAAAAATATAATTCTTCGTATTCAAAAGTACGAAACTTACCACAGGCCCATGCCTCAGGAATTACATGCAAAACAGAATAACAGGATAAAATCCGCTTTCCTTTGTTTACTCTACAGCAAAAACAAAATCAAATCGTCTTTACAGTTCACTTCAATACAAATTTGATCTTATAAGAACCTCAACACATTTGAGAGCAATTTCATCAGTTTAGCTAACTATTGGTTTTGAAAGGTTACTCCCAATATTAAAATTCATTCACAGAACACTAGTTTGAAATTTTTTCTCGCATGAGGACGAAGCAACTTTCTTTTTAAGCCACACATTTTCAAATTACATTCATGTAGCATTTATTTGTCTCATTTTACCTAAAGATTTGAATGACTACTTTAAGCACAAGTCTCTAATTAAGGCTACTGTGTAACAGAAAGCTGTAGTCACTATACCCCGGGGAGGGGGTGGGGTGGTTGTGATTACACTCTGATTAACGATTAACCTTAAATTTAATATTGCTTTGTTTCAATTTAACCCCGAAAATAGACTTCCATTTTGTACTTGCTAATTTTCTAGCAACACAGACGATGTTCCCGATGAAATTAAACGTTTGAATCCAGGTATTTCAATGAGTACCTTATGAAGAAAAAGGTCCTTCCTCAATCAATCAGGTCAATATTTGATTTCGCCCCCACCCCGGGGAAAAAGGAGTAAACAAAGCCGTCGGAGGTACAGTTGGGAAAATTATTCACAACAGTTGGTTAACATTTTTTTTACCTCAATTAACCTTCATTAGGACCAATGTATACATAAGTTGGCAAATAAAGTTGCCCACCAATGTTTAACCCAACTTTCGTTTACAGTGTACTTTCCAAATCGAAAACCCCGCCGAAAATTTGGACAGTCATTCTGTCAAATCGTTACCAAAGAGTCATTTGGCTTGTCTCCTGGAAACATTAAAAAATACCATTTTAAATACATATCCTTTTTCAAAGTTCGAACGCCATTTGTGGGTTTTTTCGGTGTAAATCACTGCAGAAATATTGTCTTCCCTGACAGTTTGCGTCTTGCCATTATACGTGCTGACGGCACTCGGCACTTGAAAACTAGAGTTATAGTTTATGCTGCGTCTGCACGACTTTGTATTAAAAAGCAAAACAAATCCTTGCTCACAGTTTTAATTTGATTCAAAGAAATTGTAACCACACTTTCGAGCTATCAACAGATGGGGACTAGGTCCGGGTGTGTGGCTTGCATTACAAAAAAAAACTAATTCTTTTTTTACCAAAAGTGCAACAATGATTATATATGTGGCTCATTTAAACAGACTATTTGGCTCAGCAAAACAGAATAAAATATCGCCATGACAGTTTCAATTTGATTCACATGAATATTCATCGCATCTTCAAGCTATTCCCAGCTGGAGACTAATTCCGGGTTTTGTTTTGCATTACAAAAAAACAACAATTCTTCGTTTTCAAAAGTATGAAACGTGCTATAGGCCCATGCCTCAGGAATTACATGCAAAACAGAAAACAATATCGCAAGGCTAAAATCCGCTTTCCTTTGTTTAATCTACAGTAAAAAAAAAAATTCAAATCCTCTTTACAGTTCACTTCAATACAAATTTGATCTGCTAGGTACCTTTACACATTTGAGAGCAATTTCATCAGTTTAGCTAATTATTAGTTTTGAAAGGTTACTCCCGATATTATTATTCTTTCACAGAACACTAGTTTGAAACTTTTTCTCGTATTAGGACGGAGCGACATTTTCAAATTACATTCATGTAGCATTTATTTGTCTCATTTTACCTAAAGATTTGAATGACTACTCTTATGCATGAGTCTCTTATTAAGGCTACTGTATAACAGAAAGCTTTAGCCACTATCACGTACCCCGGGGGGGGGGGGTGGTTGTGGGGGTGGTCGGTGTATCAAACTACCAACCAGCCCCAACTCGCCATACAGTTTAAATCAAACCTTTTGCGCACGTTTAAAATTCTAGCAGTTGATCGTATACACTTTTCAAAAATGATTCTCTACAACTAAAAACAGGTTCATTCTTTACAGAAATAGACCTCCAATTCACACTAGGCCGAGCACGGGCATGTACATTTAAGTCATCTATGAGAGATACAAAACATTTCACATTTAGCTTCTTTGGAATACTGTAATCGGAACTTATTTGTTTTTCAGTGAATACTTAAGGAAAACGACACTTGCTCAATAGACAGGGCATAACCATGTTCCACGCAGATGCATTATTAGTCGCACCAACCGACGTTTCGCAATTTTTGGTGTTTTGAGAAAAACCGATTTAAAGCTGGGGTTTTTTTGGTAGGCTCATTCCTGACACTTTCTGTGTAATTCGTTTGCAATTCGTTTGCTTCTTAGTTTTTTGGATATTCAGTTCCCAATTCCCAAGATACATGTCAAATTTGTATTTCTCCCATGCACTTGTTGATCAGAGTGTGCTCCTAGGAGTATTCATTTGAATCCTGCTTTGCTCAATTCTTAAAACAAAAACTTTCAAAAATCAACAATTTCCTCTAAATAAACAAAGCCAGTTACTGGTCTGTAAAAATAGAACACGAGAATTTCTTGAAAATATTCTTGTAAAATCGCTCGTAAACAGCGGTCGGATCGAAATTTGTTTGCTTTGGCGGTTCGTCGGACGCTGAAGGTTTTAGTCCCTGTTGCGCCCGAAACCGTCCGGGAAATTACTCACTGTTGCGCTCAAAACCGCCCCGAAATCGGTGCGCTGCACGCTGTATAATATATACAGAAACACGTGAAGAGCGACCCCTATAGTCATATTGGCGTGTAGCTTGGGAGTTCCCCTTTCAGATGCATCAACAGCAACGTAAGTAGAGTAAGAGAGAGGACCCCCAGGGTTGCAATCGCCTAACAAACGTTGAAACGTCTAAGTTGGACCAAGCCTCACCCACCAAGCGAGATTGCGACCTGCCACCTTGAAGAATAAGCCGGGACAAACATCCAAACATTTAAGCAGAGCCTTGCTTGATATTATATAGATGAGTATTTACGTTACAGCTTGGAACCCGCAGCCCATTCTGCTAATATGTCAACATATTAGGCAGTAATGTGTTTATCATTGGATTTGAATGCAGAGCAAGTAAGGAGAGAGGTTTGCGCCCGTTTTACGATTTTTTCTTCTTTTTTAATGACGCCATTCTGTTAATATGCACTAGTAAGCAGAAAGTCATGGGTTCGAGTCCCAGCCGAGTGATTTTTTCCAACTTTTGCTCGGGAGGTAACACACTGAGTATACAGTGTTTATATGTCGATGAAGGGCAAAACACCTAACTTGATTTACATCACCCCAGCGCAAAATTCCATCTTATGAATGTTATGAAGTTGAACAGAGACTTAGAACATGACCATAGGTCGAAGGTTCAAATTCCGCTGCAGTCAATTCGTTTGGTCAACTTTATAATCTTTATGCACCCAGTCAGTTTCCCGCTCTGGTTTAATTTAAAAATAAAAAAAAATAATACCCCATTCCAACCCCAAGCTACTGTCCGATACTTTGTTGTGATTTTAAGCTTAGAATCGGAAAATGAGGTCCGTGGTCATACCCAAAATGTAATAAAGTCATCACAAGTCATCACAAG